CAAAAACATAATGTGCAGAAATAAGGAATAGTTGTATTAACCGCACATGTGAACAGAGATTTAAGGGGCCCGCAGGAACTTGGGGCCCTAGGCAACTGCCCAGGATTGCCTAATGTTAAATCCCCCCTGGATGCAAGCAATGTTTTCAGGACCATCTGTCTTTCTTAACATAAAATCATGTTTCCTCCTGTGGAGGGGGAATATATTTTCAATACTGCTGCATTATTCTGTTTTTGCTGTTTCCAAATCTCGGAAACACCTGTGTCTGATTTTTGATTTATCCTGGATCTTCCATGACCTCCCCACTAGAAATCAGCTTCATCCTTTAAATTGACCTCAAAGTGAGGAACTGACATCAAATCTTGCTTTTCTAAAGTTCTAAAAAGTTGCTAGATTTGGCGCTAGGGGCCAGAGGGGTCTGAAAAGTGGCCAAATAAGGAATTGTTTTATTCCTCCATCTGCAATGCGGGGTGGGTTTACCTTTCCAACCTCTGGCTTTTTGTCCTGCATCAGGTTTATTTGTAGAATATCTAAATTAGAGCCAGCAGAGATGACGGGTTTCCCTTTTATAATATGATAATAATGATTTAATGGGTTTACCCTCCTGATCGTTGTTCTCTTTTCTCTCAGGCAATCCCATCGTACAGTTCAATGAGACCATTAACTACAATGAGATGTTCAGCTGGCATGAAATAGTTGAAGAAGAGTATGAGCAAGCTCTGCGGAAGGGTTTACCCAACCCCATCCTCTACATCCTGGAAAAATTCACCCTGAGCAGCCCCTGTGGTCTGATCTTTCAGTACAGATACTCCGGGCGATTCGCCTCTGCAACTCTCTGGTATTTATTAACAACTCCTACTTAACACACATGTTTAACAGTAATAATTAAAATATCGTTCCATGTCTAACTGCTCTGTAGGACAGCATTTTGCTGCTGGATCGTCGCCAACATCCTCTTCTCCTTACCGGTCGTTTTGTACGCCGGGTACATGACCATGGCCACCGCCGCCTGCATCTTCTTCTCCATGGCGTCCTTCTCCACCATCATGAATGTGCCTCGGTGTGTTTTCTCCCTAGGTGAAGACTCCTTTGTGACGGAGTACAGCCATTCATTTTGGCTGGCTCTGGCTACAGGTGAGAACTTTAAGGAGTTTACGTATAACTCCACTTCCATCAGACATCAGCGTCCTTCAGTAGTGGCTGTTTTAACAGGTTCAGATTTCAAATGCCTCATTTCTTTAATGAGTTGATTTCATGACCTCTATCCTGGTTTTCAGCTCAAAAGCTGATTCAAACCACTACAGATCTGCCACTATACCTCACATTGAGCATCAGATGTTCTTCCACATAATTATAAGAAAAGAATCTCCTATTTATTGTGGGAAGTTGGTTTCCTAGGATAGCATAAGTCTGGAGTTTTTTTCCCCCGTTTGTTTTACCTTCCTTGATGCCCCCCCCTTCCTGCACACTGGCGACCCAAACATTGGTCCTCATCCAGACTGGTTCGTCATAGTGCCTCTTTCCTGTAAGCAGTTAAACTTGCAGGGTGATTCTGTTGGTAGGTATGTTGCTTTGCAGCAAGAAGGTCCTGGGCTGGAATTACAGCTCAATAACCTGACTCAACCAGATGGATTTGCTCCTCATATCCATCTGGAAACCTTCCGTTGAAGTAATTTTGGGAAGGGGCGAAAATACTGGTTAGCTGATTGGCCTATGTTGGTGATAGACGGGCCAAATAAACCAATCAGATCAACGAAGCATATGACGTACTAACAGAGCGACGACGAAGAGGAGCCAATTGATAGATCAAACTCTTGCCGAAACCAGTCGGGAGAAGAGCAAAAACATCTTTTCCTCTGAGAAAAGCCTCCAGAGCAGTGTTTTGCTCTTCTTTCAGTGAAGAAATACTCTGTAATTCCCATAAAACTTGCTCGATAGCCACGCTAACGCTAGTTTCATCGGCTGAAGCCGCCATGTTCTTTAGACTGAACTGTCGCGCTTCTTGTTGCGTCACACCTCAACCCGCCTCAAAGCCAACGCTGATTGGACGTTCGTTTGGTGAACGGCTCCAAATTTTCTTTAACGGAGAGTCTCCAGACTGATCTGCGAGTGAAACCTTGAAAGCTCGCGAGATCAGGATGGTCTCACGAGGCTAACAGCTCTAGGTCTTTTTGCATGAAGTGTGCATTGTCTCTCTTTGCGCATGTTGGTACTCACTGGGTACTCTGCCTTCCTCTCCGAATCTAAAGATTATTAGACAAACTGGCCTATTTATACTATAATAATTAAAGTAAGTGAGGGTGTTTATACCATAGACAAATATATATAAGAGTAGACCCCGCATTGACTGTTGGGGGCGCCATCTTGGGGAGGTCGACCTGCTACAGTAACCTGCTGCTTTAAGCAGAACAGAAGAAGGATGCCTGAGCACTGCAGCGTAGTTTTGTTTTAATGAACAGACTGTTTTATTTATTTATTTATTTTATTTGTTTATCTATATATATATATACATAGAGTGAGAGATATCTTTATGTATATATGTGCATATAAATATGTTTCTGTTTATACTAATGAAAAAATTATAAAAATGTCTGCAACATACATCCATCCTATAAGAATATTGTGTTACTCTTAACCCCACTAAGATTATTTAAAGGAACCGAACCATTTGTTTGTTTTCAGCAAAAAAAATTAAATGTGAAAATGTTTGATAAAGTTGATTAAAATTGATTCTGTGCCTGCTTAACACATTACACTGAGCAAGCTGTCGACCGCCCCAAGATGGCGCCACAAAATCACGTCGGCGCCCAAAGGCGAAAGCGATGGATGTGGAGTCTACTCTTATATGATGTCTGTGGTTTTATAGGGTTTCTGTTTTGCCCAGTGATGGACTGGTGACCTACCTTCCAGTTATTACTGGACACCAGTAAAATCCAACAGTTTTATTATTTTTAAACAAAAAACTGATGAAATATACCAAAAATAAACAGCTGCATTTAACAAAAACTTGATAAATTGTTAGGTTTATTCTTTTATACATCATGTTCATGTTACTTTGTTAGCCAGATAGAGAGAGTAGATGGCTTTCCTTCACTTTGTGTAAGTGGGTCATCTAAATAGGACAGCTTTCTTGTCTTTTAAAGATACACGGGATATGGGAACATCTTGGAGCCGGACTGATAGAGGAGAGCTATCTGTAATTCTTGGGCATGGATGGTGTGTCAGTTTCTGATACGGACAGCTAAACATCCACATGATGCAACACATAGACTCATGAGCTTTAAGAAGGAGAAGATGGCGTTGTTCGGGGCTCAATCTTTGCCGGACGCTCGCTGACGTGATTTTTGAGCCCACAGCTGTGCAAGCTCCAAGCATTTACTCTGTCCTGTAACGACCTGATCTGGAATAAACTCTCGTTATTTTTTTACTCCTGTTTTTATAGTCCTTTTTTTTTTTATATGGTTTTACCCAGTTTGAGTTAAGAGTAGTAAATAACTTGCTCCCAGGAAAAGAACCGGTGGGGAAGTTCTGAGGCGCAACTGCTTTTTAGGGGACATAACTTCCTTATTTAACAGAATTAATTAATGTTCTTTTTTTTTTTACTCTACTCTTTTAGAGGCACCAAAGCTGTATATGTGTATAAAAATGAAACTGTAGAAAATGTTTCGATCTTTGCTAACTGAGATGACTTCCAGGACTGCTGTGCACCATCATCGGGATTTCTGTGGTGATGCTGAACTTTCTGATGCCAGAGAAGATAAAAGCAGCTTTCAGCGTTGGATTGGACAGCTGTGAGGATGAGGACCAGTCTTGTCGAGAAGGTTACCTGAACTCACTTTTCCTGAGTGGAGAGACGTATTTACCACTGACCCCTAAAGTTATACCAGTAAGTTGGGATGCAAATCGCTGATATTGTCATGTGACTTCATGAGTAAACTACAAAAAATGTGAATCTAAGTTTATTTTTCTTAAAATAAGATCTTTTTTTCTAGAATTAAGCGGTTAAGGGAGACACTTTGCCAATGGAATGAGGCAATTTACATTTAAAATAAGAAAAAAAACAACTGCAGTCTCTTATTTCAAGCGCATAATATCTAATTATCTTATTTTATACTTGTTTTAAGAGTAAAAATGCTCATTTCAATGGCAGATTATCCTATTTACCTGCTTAAATTAAGGCTAAATACACATTTTTACTAATTTTTAGATTGTTTTTGTAGTGAACACATTGATTGCACTGCAAAAAACATCTAGAAATAAGTAAAAGATGTCTTAAATTAAGTGTATTTACCCTTAAATTGAGCAGGCAAATAAGATGATCTGCCAATGGAATGAGTATTTTTACTTCTAAAATAAGATAATTAGATAATATACACTTGAAATAAGAAAAAGCAATAGTTTTTCTCTTATTTTAAATGTAAATTGTCTTGTTCCATTGGAAAAGTGTCTCACTTACGTCCTCAATTCAAGAAAAAATGCACATAATTTGAGCGAAAATGAGTTATTTAGATTTCCATTTTTTGCAGTGTGTGCTTTTTTTAATTTCTTTTCTGAGGGAATAAGACAAAGTCAATTAATACTGTCGTGTTTCCGGAATCCCTGAATTAAAACTGCAAATATTTTGTGTTTTCCAGGAGCATCTATGAAGCCATCAAACGCTCTCCTGTAATCCCTACTTGAATATTTTTTGGTCGAATATGTGACAAAACATTTCTAACCATGTTAGCCTGTTTTTGTGTTAAACTGTAAATACATGTCTATATTTTTAACGTCTTGGAGGGGAAACTGAAAGCAATGTTTTTTTTTATACTGTGTAAGTTTTACAGTAATATATTTTAATACGTTAATCTTAACTCATTTCAAATTACTTTAAAAAATATTTATGTATCAGAGGTTTTTGTGAAACATGAATTTTGGCACATGTTTGTTGGTTTAATAGGAGAGAAAAAGCAGTTTTCTGTATTTATTGTTGCTTTTTTAAAAATGTTTTCAGGATGTTTTCTGCAGCAAAGTGTTAATAAAAGGAAAACAAACACAAGTTTAGGAGAGAAATTGTATTTTCCTGTTCATTACATTCATCCAGTAATGAGTATATTGATACATTCTAGTACTCTCTGTCCCTCAAAGTGTGTCTACTGTATCTCCCCAACAAGATGTGTGTCTTTGGCCTTCAGCGTTGCCGTAATGCAGAGTTCGTTGCCTTTGTACATCGTGTTTTTGTTGACTTGTAATGCTTACTGTAATAGATTATCATGTCAGAACGAGATTGAATCCCTGGTCTGTTATTTTTCCACAATCACATGCATACTGCATTGTTTTGCAGGAGTAGTTATGGCCTTCCCAACAAAGCCCGAGAGGAACCCGAAGTATTTACAGTATAAGTACATTTTATAACCCCATACGCATTATAAAAATGACTAAATAAAAAATAAATGTGCTAATTTATCTCTTCATAGGAAAATAATCATGACCATAAAGCTACTTTTCTTTGACACCATTACCTCACGTACAGTACTACAGACGGTATTCACATTATAAGGCCATTATGATGATGTAATTCAAGATAAGACCTGGAAATGATTTTCTTTACAGCATTGCGACAAGAAGCAAAACAATTTAAAATGGTAGAAAAATAAATTCCCTCCGTCCCACTGGGTGACCCATCGACTGCTGGACGAGCAGGACTCCAGAGGATGGATCCGTGCTAAATGTAGACGGGTGTTTCTTGTCCGGTCAGGAGTCTGAACATCACGGCAGGCATCGTCTTCATGTTGATCTGGCACAAGGAAAGACGTGATGAGACAGGGCGGCCATGTAAAGATTTTAATAGCTTAAATTGATCCAGTTACGACCATAATGCATCCTACTGGGACTTCGTTCAATCAACTTACATAAAGCTGCAATATCAAAACGAACATTTTTACAGAATGAAATCAGTCCAGGATGGATTGCATTTAGTGTGCAGCTGATTGTGTTTATCCTCAAACCATAACACCTCCACCTAGGGATGCACGATATAATCGGCCCCCTATCGGTATCGGCCTTAAAAC